GGGGACGTGTGATTTAGCGGCAGAATGACGATCTCAGCCTTGTACTGATAGTGACATATAGATGTGCGCAGTGACGCAGTATCGTCTCATTTACAATCATTTTTGCTGCTTTTCTGTTTTTCTTGCTGCAGATTTAAAGAGAAAAAGTTTTTGGAGGTGGTGAAGTCTCTTCAGGGGTGTCCTTGGAGGGAGGAGCCGACAAAATGTGACCAGCTTCGGTAAGTATGTGAGCTGTGATTGGTTGGATGTTGTCACTGAACTCCGGCCGCATGTGACACGAATATTACAGCTCGGTGTTCATTATTATTACGGATGCGCCGATACCGGTTTTTGGTATCGGGTACGAGTACCGATATCTTTTTCTTTCCGGTACTTGCCGATACTGAGAACTGGTTAGATATGTAAGCTGAGTGTAGAGTGTAAGCTCCTCTGTACAGAGACTGATGTGACTGTGGGGGGAGGGGACGTTAGAGTGTAAGCTCCTCTGTACAGAGACTGATGTGACTGTGGGGGAGGGGACATTAGAGTGTAAGCTCCTCTGTACAGAGACTGATGTGACTGTGGGGGGGGTGGACATTAGAGGGTAAGCTCCTCTGTACAGAGACTGATGTGACTGTGGGGGAGGGGACATTAGAGTGTAAGCTCCTCCTCTCAGGTGCCGGGTCCAATGCTGTGTGCTGTGGTTCCTCCTGCCCGGCACCATTATATCCGCACTGTGTCCTGCTGTGATGTAGGGTTGTCAGGATAAACCACGGAGGACACGCTCAGTACATACTTTGCCTCCAGTCCTCTGCTCCTTCTCACAATGCAAGTCTATGAGTCGTCTGCCTTGCTGAAAACAATGCACTCCCCGTGCGGCTGATATCTCATCTCATCAGCTGTTAAAGTGGACCTGTCATGAGATATGATTTCATCTTACGGGAAGGCATTGCTAATAAGTCAGTGTTTTTTGGGCACGTAATTGGGGGCGGGGCAAAGTAAATTCTCCGTTCCATCCATGCGGCAGTACCGGAATCTGGCCCATAGGTGTTTTATCTCCATGGATGATGACTGTTGCCTCTTCTTTATTGCTCAGGGAGGAGTTGGGCAACTGCTGCAATGCCTCGTACTCCATGATCATGACTCGGGAGAACACTGCCGTGGGAAATACGCTTCACTTCGATGCAGAAGAAAAAATCACCGAAGAGGTCACCGCCGGTCTTCACAGTCTGTTCCTGAAGGTGAGCGCCAGCCTCGGGGTCAGCGGCGCAGTGCCGATGAATCCCAAAAATTTAAAGGGAACTTTCATTTTGTTGAACTTCTCATTTCTCCAAGCTGAGCTCCGGTCACGAAAAACAGTTTCAGTGCTGTGGTAG